GTGTTCGGTTAATATTATTATCACTATTATTATTATCATTATTATCATTCGTAACTTTTCTGTACTCTTTAAAGAATTCAAACCGCGACCTCTCACGATCTTCATTAAACAATTTAAGAAACGAACTTTTGATATTTTATAACAAAAAAAAAAACTTTACATTCCTTTTTATTTTTGCAACTCTCCCCCCCCCCTCTCTTTTTCTCACTTTTTCTCACTCTTTAATTATATATAAAATATTTCTCTTTCTTTTTCCCATCAGTCATCTATAAAAAAAAAAAAAAAAAAAAAAGATGGTAATAATTAATATTAATATGAAAAATCCAATGAAATTTCCCCAAAAAAAAAAAAAAAATTTTTAAATAATAATAATAATAATAATAAAATTTGCGTTATCGTATCCTTTTTATAGTGACTTCACATTGATCGACAGTCAATTAATAATAAATTAGCGAAATGATGATGATGATGATAATAATAATATATATAAACACTTTTCCTTTAGGCTTTTTTGCATTCTTTCATTTCATTTCATTTCATTTTGTTTATTTATTCCTTATTGCGAATGACTCAATTCGTGCCTTTTGAAATATCCTTCGCTGCTGTAACCTTTTCCGCAGATCCGACACTTGAACGGAGTCATGGGATTGTGAACCCATTCGTGTTGTTTTAGATAATATTTAGATGTGAAAGCTTTTCTGCATATATTGCACTGGAATGGTTTCTGGCCGTGCGTGTGTGTCAACCTGTGCGACTGCAACTGATATGAGAACATGAAACTGACCTGACACAAATCGCATTTTAATGTTTTCGTTTTCCCGTGAAGACCCACGTGCCTTCGAAAGTATTTACACTTAGTGAAACATTTCTGACACAGGTTGCATTGGAAAACGTTCGGAGCGGGATTCGGATTTCCAGCGTAATCCGGATTGCATTCAATGCAATTACATTTCGTTCTAGTTTTTCTTTTGGTCCCGGATGAAAAGGCTTCGTTACCATAATTTTGAACTCCTCTATCACCACCGAAAAGGGAATGATGATCGACATCTATGCGAACAGGATTCCCTGAATCAATGCA